CTTCCTTGTTCTGTTTGTGCAGCCTGGCCCAAGGGGGCCCGGACCCAGGCGTTACTGCAGCACAGATCGTTACAACCAAAAGCATGGGACAGGGGAGCCAGGGTCGCTGGCCTGTCGCTCCCCCTGCACCCCACAGCCATTACAGAGCCATTGGGCAAGCCAGGGGTATCCCCGACAAAGGCCACCGACAGGCCGTGTGCCTGCGAGTGCATACAGATCTGGGGGGGAAACGCCACCTGGACAGCCCCCTGTGGCAGGGCTTTTCATCCTGGGCCCACTGGGCACCCCACGTGCCTGCCTGAGGCATCCCCGTGCCCAGGGAACATGGGTTTGGCCTTCATGCACACCTGGGCGAAGAACGGGAAGGGGTAACTGCTCAGGGACGTACCATGGCCCCAGCGAGGGGGAAAGTTCCCCCCGACCAGGTGAGCTGGCGGCAGAAGCCAGCGGAGCCCAAAGTCCCGGAGGAAGGCCGTGTGTGAGGCTGCGCTGGCCCGGCTGGAAGCACAGAGCAGCGGGGCCCTCAGGAGGCTGGAGAGGACAGGCCAGTGCGGTGAGGTTGAGAGAAGCCGCCCAGCCTGACGCTGGTCCCACGCCACCACCAAGCTGGAGCCCCGCACGGCGGCAGGAGACGGGGCGGGTCTCCAGGCAGGACGGTGGCCTCGCCAGCCCATGTGGGGGTATCGACACTGACCTGGGCTGTGGTGGGGATTCCCTCGGCCTTGGCTTTCTGCTCCAGCTTCTTGGCCAACAGGAGCTTTTCCTCCTCCGATTTCTCTGGGTAACCCCTGGGCGGGAGAAGCAGAGAGGAGAGGTGGGGAGTGAGGCTGCCGCAGAGACGCGACGCACGCTGCCGAGACGATGCCAAGGCCGGCCGCTCTCACCGATTCGCAAGCCCTGGGCAGCAGGGGGCGGTACTGACCGGGACATTTTCCTCCGCTTCTTCTCTTCCGCCTTGGCTTTCTGGGCGGAGGTCAGGCTCTCGGCCTCAGCCAGATTGTCCACAGCGATGGCCAGGAAGACATTGAGCAGGATATCTGAGAGGGGGTGGAGCTAAGGAAGCTTAGGGAGCATGCCCCTATGTGGGGGTCGCCCCTTCTATGGCTGCTTCTTCAAGAGCAGGGCTTAGCAAGAGCCTGTGTGATGACAGTACACAATGTACACAGGCAGATGGGGAGAGCCCCAGGCTCAGTAATAAGCCCTCTGCATACCCCAGACAGCTGCCTCCTGTAACCAGCGAACCTCCATTGGTGTCAGCGGTGGGATCCAAAGGCAGGAGACCAAGCGAGCTACCCAGTCATTTTTGCAACCCTTTTAAACCCCGCACCTGTTTCGCCATTCACCCCACCCCTAGTGCTATGATGTCTGAACATACATACCCAGCCTCAGAGCCCTTCTCCAGTGTGTGCTGAGCCCCGTGTGATTTGAGGCTACCGGGGACTGGGCTGGTCAAGACCCAGCTGTTCTTCCCAACTGGCTAGAAAGAGGATACAGTTCCCGCAGACAAAGAGAATGATGAAGTAAATGCAGACCAGCATGCCGGGGAAGGAGGGCCCTCCATAAGCCATGATCCCGTTGTACATGATTGAATTCCAGTCTTCTCCTGTCAGGATCTGGGAGATGGTGTGAGCGAGTCAGGCAGAACCATTCCATTGGATCAGAAGGAACAGACCCGAACCCAGGAGGCCTGACGCCGTGTTCCCTGCTCTAACCACTAAGTCCCACTGTCTCCCAGGTGTCCTGACTCCAGCCTGCGTTGGATCAGCAGGGTGGGTGCCCGCTGCGCCCCGTACCTGGAAGACGCTGATGAGCGCCTGGGGGAAGTTATCGAAGGTGCTGCGCCGCACCTCCATGTCTTCAAAGTCGTACTTGCCCCCGAAGAGCTGCATGCCCAGCAGGGAGAAGATGATGATGAAGAGGAAGAGCAGGAGCAGCAGGGACGCGATGGATTTCATGGAGTTCAGCAGCGAGGCCACCAGGTTACTCAGCGAGGCCCAGTGCCTGGGGGAGAGACCCACGGCTGGTACCGGCCCCCCCGGCACCCCCCAGTATCTAGGGCAAGCAGAGGCACTAAGCACTAACGCCCAGGGGTGCACAAGCAGGGTGCTGAGGGACACCCCTCTCCGCGTGGCTGAGGTCGCCCGCATGCCTCAGGCAAGGTGCCAGGCAGGAGATGATGTGAACAAATGCCGAGCTCTTCTGTAGGGCTGCTCATCAGCAGATCTCAAAGGCTCACTGTCCGCCTCTTGCAGGTGGGGAAACTGAGGCACGGGGGCATGATGTGTTCCTGCTCCCCCAACAGGCCCGTGGCAGAGCTGGGATTGGAACTCAGGCCCCTTGATTGCGCTAACCACTAGGAAACACATCCCAGGCCTCGGCTCCGGGCTTCGCCACAGACATCTCACCATGGCCCTCGCCCCTCCGTGCCTCCCTTGCCCAGGTGTGGAGAGGAAGAGTAAAGCTGCCCTGCTGTGTGGGGCGTGAGGAGGAACCCGTTCCTGGGAGCTGCTCAGCGGCTGAACCCTGCACCCTCCACGCCCTCCGTCCAGCAGGGCTGCAGGTACCACTCAGAGCTCGGTATGCCCCCCAACCCGCAGGGCAGCCTCATCCACTTGGGGGGCTGGGCAGGGAGCAGTGAGTCAGTGTCAGATTAGAGTCCTGGAGCTCTGTGTGCCAGCCCCCCCGCTCCCCACCTCCTCTGCTCTGACCACTAGACCCCACTCCCCTCCCAGAACTGAGGCTAGAGTCCAGGAGTCCTGGCTACCAGCCCCCCTGCTCTAACCACTAGACCCCACTCCCCTCTCAGAGCTGGGGATAGAGTCCAGGAGTCCTGGCTGCCAGCCCCCTGCTCTGACCACTAGACCCCACTCCCCTCCCAGAGCTATAAAAGAATCTAAGTTTCCTGCCCTTAGCCTGCAGTTAGCAGGCCAGAGAATTCAGTTTCCCTTTCTTCAGCCTTCAGCAGCTTGTCCCTGCGGCCACGCCTGAGGTCTCCGAAGGGAGGACGCCCCAGCCTCCCAGCCCAGCCCAGCCCCCCGGCCCGGGGAGGGAGGCCCCCACCTGGTGATTTTGAAGATCCTCAGCAGGCGGATGCAGCGCAGGACGGAGATGCCCAGGGGCGACATGACGCCGAGCTGCACCAGGACGATCTCCAGCAGGCCGATGCACACCACCAGGCAGTCGAAGCGGTTGAAGAGGGACATGAAGTACTGGTGCAGGCCCAGCGCGTACATCTTCAGCAGCATCTCGGCCGCAAAGAGCGCCAGCAGCACCCGGTTGGCGCTGTCTGCAAGCAGTGAACCCGGCCGGTCGGTGCACTGCAGAGCGCCTCCTCCTCCGCCCCTCCCTCACCCTCTGCCTGCCCAGTTACACTCACCTGCCCAGAACGTCCCTCCCCACCCCAGCAAGAGGCGTGTCCGTGCACGGGGAGCGGGAGTGAAACACAAGGCCAGGAGGAGGCCCCACGTACACACAGGCCTGGGGAGAGCCTGCAGCCCGGATGCCCACCTGTGTGTGCGTGGCGCACGTCCGTGCAAGTCCTCGTGTGCTCCCAGGCAGCAGGCTGCCCTGCTCACCTTGCGCATAGGTCATCCACTCCAGCTGCTGGTGGTGCTCGGACGCTATGGCCAGGGTGTTCAGCATGATGAGCAGGATCACCAGCCAATAGAAAAACTTGGACTTCACCACCTCGCGGCACTTCCTGCGGTACGCTGGAGAGAAAGGCCGAGCGGGGTGACTCCGGGGCTCCCGCCACCCAGCCCCAGAGGGCAGAATCATTGCAAAGAGTCCTGCCTGCCAGCTCGTAGGGGCCCAGGAAAGAGGGGTCTGCAGACGGGGGATCTCTAGCACCTTTCCTTCCTCCCAATCAAAGGCCCCACTCAGTCGCCACGAAGCCAAACGGGGATGAACCAGAGTAACATAAAAACATCAGAACGGCCCGACTGCGTCGGACGAAAGATCCATCCAGCTCAGCGTCCTATCTGCTAATAGTGGGCAATGCCTCCCCCAGAGGGAGGGAACACAACAGGGTGATCCCTCTCCGGTCTCCCATTCCCAGCCTCTGACAAACAGAGTCTGGGAGACTATTCCTACCCACCCTGGCTAACAGCCATTGATGGACCTAAGCTCCATTAATTGATCGTGCTCTTTTTGAACCCTGATGAAATTCTGGGCTTCACAACCTCCTCTGGCGAGGAGTTCCACAGGTTGACTGCACTGTGTGAAGAAAAACTTCCTTTGGTTTGTTTGAACCCTGCTGCCTGTTCATTTCCTTTGGTGACCCCTCGTTCTTGTGTGATGGGAACAAGTGAATAACTTTTCCTTATTCGCTTTCTCCACACCAATCTGTTTTTATAGACCTCTATCATCTCCCCCGCCCCCCCAGTCTCCTCTTTGCTAAGCTGCAGAGTCCCAGTCCTTTAAACAGAGGAGACCCTGGGGCATTGCTGAACAAGGGGTCTCAAAGCCCTTGGGAAGTGTGCGTCATTTATCCCCATTTTTCAGATGGGAGAACTAAAGGCACTCGCCCAGGAACAGAACCCAGGTGTCCTGGCTGCTTGCCTAGCGCAGTGTCCAAGAGACGCCTTCTCTTCGCTCAGCAGCTGGTCCTCTGGAGAGGACGCTGCTCTTTAAAGATGCTGGCATCACCCGGTCACAGCTCGGCATGACCCTGGATTTCCTGACACTGCTGACGCACCCCCGGAGCCGGGGCGAGCTGCGCGGGAGGACAGTGCCCAGGCGCTTGACCCAGCGGCCCCCAAAAGAAGGGGCAGGACCACCTGGGCAGGCTTTTTCAAGAGCCAGACACAGCAAAATCCACCTGCACTGAACGCGGCGTGTCCACCCCCAGCATAACAACGCCAGCTCTGCCGGGGGGGGGGCTCGCGGCGG